TCTTGAACACAACACCACAGACCAAGGAGTTCTTGAACACAACACCATAGAGTCATCTGAGGAGTACAGGACACTGAACGCAACAACATGCTGGACAGGTGGTAATGAGACAGAGCAGAGGGAGCGGAAGGGGGCGGAGCTATCTCCTCGTATCGTGGGAGGGAACCTGGAGAGGCTAGGAGGGAGTCCCTGGCAGGTGTGATGTCAGCTGTCTTATTTTACTGCCTGGTCAGAAAAAAACTGCTGTAATTTGCTGAAAAATAAAGATGTAAAAATGTTTTTCTTCTGTGAATTGTTTGTGTTTAAACTGTTTGTCCAGGTTCTGATCCACAGGGCTGGTGGTTTTGGTTTCTGTGGAGGGACTCTGGTGTCGGATCGATGGGTTGTTTCTGCAGCTCACTGCTTCGAAGAGTCTGCAGACTACGTCACTATAGGTGATAACACTGTTACCAACTGCAGACCAAAGGTCCTCTGTTAGTAAAATATTCAGGATGACACAATGACTGGATCTGCGCCCAGATCAGCAGGGCCTCAAATGTCAATTGAAGAAAGCACCTGCACACCTGCCATCATATCTGTACTCAGACTAGTGAAATGTCAAGTCATCTCCAAATCGATTGAATTGATCAAACATATTCTTTAAAAACATTAATTTTTGGACTGTAAGCTAACCCTAACTAATTCAAACCCAATGACAGAATACTTCAGTTAACAGGAAGGGAAACTAACCATAACTAACTATAAATTAACAAACCCACATAACTTTATTTAATCTTATGCCAAGGACAAAACAACCCATTTCACAGAGGAGTAAACTAACTCTAACAGATCCAAACCCAACGATGGTACTTAAGTCATAGGAACCAACCTTATCTATCCATAAACTAACTGTAAATTAGCCAAAATAAGAAAACAGTGCAGTTCACAGGAGAGTAAACATTTCCCCAGTTGTTTGTAGAACCAAGTATCTTGGAGCTGGGATGTTGGCATTGTACTCCTCTAACAAACTTCCTGTCTTGTTTTTGTGCTATTCCCAGTTCTCCATGGTGTTCCCTGTTCTCTGTGGCATTCTCTGTTGTGTTCCCTACTTTCTGTGGTGTTCCTTGTTCTCTGTGGTATTCCTTGTTCTCTGCGGTATTCCTTGTTCTCTGTGGTGTTCTTTGTTCTCTGTGGTGTTCCCT